ATGCCGTTTGCACATTTACCTCTCGTGGTAACAGCCAGGGTTTGTATCCAACTGCAGCGGGGGCTGCATGTCAGTGATCACCGATGCTCTTGCAACCCCGACCCCTTCAGTAGTTTTTAGTTCAGCGGCGCCTACTTGGCCCCAGCGGGCCCACAGGGCTCCAAGGGGCCGCGCGGGGCTCTAGAAGCGCACCTGGCCCCATGAGAAAAGCAGTTGTTATATACTTTCGTCTGGTCTCTTGAGCTCTGTTGGGGCCTCGTGAACTCGGTGCGTCTAGAATTGGATTCTCCATCGAGGCCCCGCGGGGCACCCGTGCGATTCCTTGTGGCGGCACTGGGATGTCCAGGAGCTTCCATCGGGGACCAACCGAACCCGTTGGCTCGCATTCTCATCCGCAGGGCCCCCTTGGTCTACAACGTTTTCCCCCCAGCCCCACTGTAGCCCACTTGCGCCCAATGGCTTTTCTCGGGGTCCGCCTGTCCCCCCCTGCCTCCATCAGCTCTTACAGGGGCACATTGGGCTCGACATTGCCTCCCTTAGGCGTCACTAAGGTTGCCTTGGGTTGCATTGTGCTCCAATAGGTTTGGGTGGACCTGGTAGATGCTCTATTCACAGTGGGCGCTTCCAGGCACGATCAGGTTCAAGCCAGCCCCATTGGGGGCTATGTGGCTCCAATCTGCCACCCAGTGCGTTCGTGTCTCCCCAATGAACCAACGGTCTTTGCGGTCGGGGCGTTTCTAGTTCCATGGGGTTGCCTCGTGCTAGCAGTGCAGCTGCGGTTTCGGCGCAATTATGGAATCAGCTGTGCAATCGTTCCGTGGGCAACCCCTTGGGACCCGCGCGGCAAATGGAGCGAATTCAACGTGAAGTTGTGTCCCCGAGTTTGTTAGAATCGTGCCCCGATTGCTTCTTGCCAGCATGGGCGGGATGGCAACCTTGAAGGTTGGCTTTGGGCCCCATCCGTTTTTCGGTCGGGCACATCGGCTCGTTGAATTCCTGCCACGGTAGGGCATTGCTTTTGCATTTGGGAGTTGCGCGGGTATGATCCGCCCCGTCTTTGGGTGGAGGTGTGGTGTTGTGGTAAGTCGGTGGGGGGGGCGCGGTGATGGGACCCCTCGTAAAGTTAACCCCTCGAGGATTACGTTCAGAAGCTCAAGGCGGCCATCGGGAAGACGCACAAGTCTCCTCTTACACTCATCGCGTCCGCAGTGGACGCCGGCACGTACTGGACAGGTAGGCTGAACGAGTACATCGAGACGTTACCAGCGATGCTGCAACACAGGAATGCCATCCAACATGCTGAAGGCGTTATCAGGGCGTACAATCCGTCAGAGTGTGAGTTGGACAAGCTCATGGGTACACTGGAAAGTCTGGTTGGCGTGAAAGAGGCCATCCGCACGGGGGGGATCGACGCGCTGCTGACTACCATCGCCCGTTCGATCAAGGAGACGCGTGTGTATGTCATGAGGTTGCCGCAGGAGGAGATGGAGATTACGTCGAAATGGTCTAGGGTCGTCGGGGAGGCCAGCCTGTTATTCCCTATGGATTTGTGGGTCGATGAGTTCAGGACTGAAGCTGCCAACAAACTTGCCTCGTCCAGCATGTCCGCGAAGGTTTCCTCCTTGGTCTCTGGATGCGCTGGTCTCAAGAACAACATGAGGAACATCACCACGCACGACGCCCGTGTGCCCATCATACAGACAGCCATCGCCAACCTGAAGGACATCGCTGGTACTACTCCGATCCCTGGGGAGTATTTCACGAGCGAGGGTTTGAGCATCATCAACGAGCAATGTGAGGTATGCGCCACCGTTGCCGCCCACCTTGTGAAGACGTCGGTGCCATCTCCCACAGGTTCTAGCCTCAAGACGGCCTCGGATTTCGCGGCGGGCGTGGTCTCGATTGCCACCGTTGCGAACTCGAAGACGCTGCAGAAGATGGCGACAGTCATCCAGGCTGGCTGTGCCCTTCAGCTGAGCTGCTTCTCCTTCTGCGGTGATCATGCAGATGTGGGCGCGATGAGCAACGACGAGAAGTCGATGAAGGTGCTGCCCGACATGATGCAGGCGCTCGTGGAGATGCAGGAGTCCCTGGCCGCCCTCGGACAAAGCGAGGCCGAGTTCTACGCAACGATGAGCAAGGTCAGTGCAGATGCGAAGGAGTTTATCGGCCAGGTCACGGCGAAGGGCTCAGAGAAGGCCACGACGAACCTGGTTGCCATCAACGAGCGCATGGCGACGCTCGGCAGGGGGCGTCCTGCTGAGCTGTGCGACGAGCTCGAGGGCGATTGGTACTCGACCTTCACGGGGAAGACGTTCAAGGAGCTGCTCGTGCACGCCGAGGGGACGCTCCTCAAGTGCGACATCAAGGCGACTATTGCGGTGCTCGGCGAGGCGGCTCAGGCACGTAGTGAACTCAATCATTGTACATGCACGCACTTTGGCATTCAAAGCTCAGTTGACCGATTTCTGTCGGGACCTCGGGGACTAGGGATGGCGGGGGCTAAGCGAGGGCCTCAGAGCCAAGCCATTTTTTTTAGGAGTGGGTTTGTTTGGGGACGGGTTCTGGTTAAACAGTTTTCGTGCATTGAATGTCCGTTGCTTGAGTTCACTTGCGTCTGGTGTCGCCCGAGAGGCGCTCAAGAAGTACAAGCATGCCCTCGGCCAGGCGGCGCGGCCCGTCGATGACGGGCTGGTGGCGGACACCGCGAAGCGGATGGGGCAGTGTAAGACGGTGAAGGCCTTGGGGTGCCTCTTGAACAAGTTCAGGGGCCAGTGCGGCCTCGAGGAGTTGAGGGGTTTCGTGCTGGCGGAGATTCGGGAGTTCCGCCAGAACAGCGGGCTCAAGGAGAAGGATTGCTTCCCGCCGCTGGTGCTGCAGCGGGTGGTGCTGGCGCTGCAGCTCAAGGCGGAGGAGGCGCTGAGCTGAGTGCTCAGCTTTCACGTGGGGGCCTGGACATATGTCCAGGCCCGATTCAACAGACGTTGAATTGAGAGTGAGAAAATATGTAAAACTAAAAACAAACAACGAGTGCGACTAAACACAGCGGGTCATCACATTCACGTGTACGCAGAACGAACTTAAGCAACACAGCGTCGGCACACATCCACTTATGCACGCATCATCAAGTAAAGCCCTCCGTGTGTTAGGTGCGATCAAAACTATGGCGACATGTGGGCCACGCGGCCAGTAAGAGGCCCACTAGTGTTACTCCTGCCTGCCCCCCCAACACTCCAGAGATCAACCGAGGTTTCTTCTTGGGAGGGTTACGCGCCTACGTGGACAGCGTGCTTACTGGGGTGCTTAGTTTATGCATACTTTACGTCATCACTGCCAAAGTTACTTTTGACTTACTTTATGGCTATATTAATGTTTCTGGGTTTTGAGGGCTGTGGTAGCCCCCCCTGATCACAAGCGTAGGGATGGGCTCCCGCTCGAGACTTCTTTGCGATTCACTTGCAGGCGAGCGCCCGCGGCGTCCTCTCATTTTGCTAAGAAGCGAAGCTCTCGTTCGACACTTCCTCTGCATTCAGGCTCCCAGCAATCCGATGACCGCCTCGGATTGCCAGCGTTAGGTGGGGACCCCAAGGGCGGTGGGGGGGTCCGCTCGCGACTTCCTCACGATTCGCTCACACATGGTGCTCCTGCTCGAGGCATTTTCGCAATTCACACACTGACGGGGCTCTCGCGCGAGACGCTCTCGGGATTCAGGGTCCCACGTGTCAACAAACTTGTGTTTTTTCTGTTAACCATAATGAGCCGATGACCGCCTCCGATTACACACGCATGAAGTGCGGGTCCCATAGGGAGGGGGCTCCCGCTCGAAATTCCCCCGCAATGCATACACAGACCGGTCTCCCGCTCGAGACTTCTTCGGGATTCAGGCTCCCATGTGTCACCAAGTATGTGTTTTTGTTCAAGGGTGTGCAGATGACCGCCTTGGATTGCACACATGAGGTGCGTGTCCCAGGGGGGGGGCTCCCGCACGACACTTCCTCGCAATTCGCGCACACGAAGCCCCCGATCCAGGCGTGCTCAAGATGGATGTGCCAGTGATCGCGTGATTGTCTACGTGTGTACAATTTCGATGATGGTGATGGTGATGACAACGAGGATGTTGTGTGTGTGGCCAGTGTGTGTGTGTGTGTGACCAGTGTGTGAGTGAGGCGGTGCCGATGGTGATGATGATGATGGTGATGATGGCGATGCTGGTGATGGTGATGGTGATGGTGATGGTGATGGTGATGGTGATGGTGATGGTGATGAGTATGATGACGGTGACGATGCTGATGGCGATGGTGAGGATGCTGTGGCCGTGTGAGTAACGGAATGGGGGGTGAGGGGTTCCTGCGCTGCGCGGACTGTCCAACGAAAACAATAACCCCTCTCAGCATGTCGGAAACAGTCATGGCAATGCAGTCGTGGGTGGGTGTATTTTTGTTCACTCTCCGCCTCCTTCATCAATCTGGTGTTAGAGGCTCCCTGACTGCGCTGGGATCTGATAGCGACCTGAACCAAAACAAGACGCGGCGGCGGTGCTTTCCGAAAAAGGCTGCCAGGACCTGAGTCCCACTCTTACTTTGTCAGGCGAACTATTTCGACGACCTTTTGATTTATTATACTGAAGAATTTCTCGATTGAGGGGCCCTTGACCTGGGTATCGTTCCTGCTCCAACTCATCTCAGTCAGCGACTGATTGGAGCGCGCCTGACTTGGTAGGACGTCTCACATGCTGGTTCTACTTGAATGGGGGTGCCTTCAGAGCGTATCGGTGTGCATGAGTTCGGCCAAGTTTATTTTTTTGGCCGAGGAGCAAGAGGTGGAGGAGGATGAGAGGAACGAATCAAAAAGGGTGGGACGAGGATAGAGAGGATGAGGGAGACTAGGACCAGGATGAGGAGGATGACGTCACTCCGATCGCCCCCAGAGCGACCAGCGGGCGCACACGAGGGCCATGCAGATAGAAAGCTCTGGTCGATCACTCTTCGGCTTGACGACAGGTGTTCATCGACACAGACGACTTGGTGGATCTGGATGGGCTCTTTGACGTCGTCGCCAGCGAGACCGAGGTGCTCATCCTCGTCGCCTCTGAGGGGGTGCTCATGCGTCCGTGGTGCGTAGGCGAGCGCATTTGTGCAATTGTCGGCTGTCGGAGGCGGAGGAGCGCACATTCGCTTTCATTCGTACGTATGTGTTTTCCTACTCCTGAGGAGGGTTTCCCTGCGTCTGCACTGCTGGCTATGCGTTAACGGCGATCGCTGTTTGACCACATGTTCGGGTGCAGAAGGGTTTTCATGTGTAAGTTGCCCGTCCATGCATATTTTGCATGTACATGCTGTGCGTGCATACTGGTTGCCTGATTGAAGCATGTCGATTGTCACGATTCCCCACTCCACTTCCGCAGTAGATTGTAGGACATTTCAGCTGCCATGCTGGCGCTGGTAATTGTAGTGGGGGCCACCGCAAGCTTGCACCGCCTTCGCCTCTTACATGAATCTCCCATCACCCCGGACAGGAAACCGAGCGAGCGCCGACATGCGTACACGTGCGGGTTCGCACTGGTCAGCATTCGCGCGTTGCGATGCGACGTGGGTTAGGGGGAGGGGTCAACGAGGAAACGAAGAGTTCGAGCCCAAAACCACCGGGGCAACTGTAGTCCTCTTGGAGACAGCTTGGAGGCCATCGTGGGCCATCTCGGAAGCACGTGTTCCCAACATTGCGAAGACGGGCTTCGGGGAACAATTCGGGATTAGACGTTTGCGCCATGGGCGAGCGTCTTTCGTAGACGGATGGGGCGGATTAAAATGCGCGCGGCGCAGTGCAGTTCCCCGAGGTAACTTCTTCCCGCGACCCCCAGGAGCTTGTTCCCCCAGGCCACGTAGACAGTGGTCGGGGAACGCTCACGGGCGTAAATCCGCGATCAGGCCTCAATCCGCTCCCGTTTTGGCCCCAGCGTGCGACGCGCGTAGCGGCTTGCCCAGTCGAGGCTGTGGTCACCTGCGAAGGATGACGCGGAAGACGGGCCGACCTGCCGCATGCAACGCTGGCACCTTGCTCGAGAGCTGCGCGGGTGACCATCGACGCTTCAATTTGATAGGGGCGTTACCAGGGACCGAGTTTATGCATCCCTTGTACCCAGATGGCGTTCCAGTGGAGTTCATGGTTGATGGAATGGCTGACGTCTGTGTAGGAACGGTTGAGGCGAACGGGGACATAGCGAAGTATACCATCACAGCGTCGGGCGCGTGTACCACTACAGGGGGACTGGCTCCCATGTCGCTGAATGCGTCCGAGCGTGCGTGGGCAGATGGGTGCTTTCGAATGGACACTGTACACGTCAAGCGATGTAAGAGTTGCAGGAGGAAGCTCCCGATGAGCGAGTTCGAGGATGCGGTTGCAGGCGCCGCCCTGCAGTGGCTCTTGGGCGCCCGACAGTGCCTCGGCTTGGGCGAGGCGTGTCGAGCGTGCCAGAAACACCGCGGGGCATGTAATGGATGCTGGGAGGACTTCCTCGTGAACGCTTTCGAGAAGCACGCCTTTCACAAACCGATTGTGAAGTGCAAGAACTGCGATGGGGGCTAGCGAGGGCGGGGATCATAAACCGCGGGGTGCCTTCGAGAAGCGCGATTCATAGCGTGGGCATGCGAAATGCCAGAATTGAGAGGAAGGCGCGAAGTGCAATCTTAATGTACGGAAGCGCTAAGAAGGGTCGAACCGAGAGGTATGAAGTTTGGTGTCGCGTGCCAGCGCCTGTTGTGCGCGAGGCGCGGCGCGAATAGAACATGCATCTGGGGGGGCGCCCTCGGAACTTCCCGCGGTTCGGGGTCATCCCTGGCGCGCTGCAGGTTGCTTGCTGCGCTTCGTGCGCTGTTCTCGCGGCCATTCGAATATCACGTGGGTGGTTGATGAACACGAGTCATCTAGCGGAACCTGTTCAGAGGCATGCGGGGAACAATTGGTGGCGGGGAACAAATGAAGACATGGGGGGACAAAGAAGGGGTGGGAAAGGCCTCCTGGGTCCAGGGGGCCTCTTGGAGCGCTCTGGTAGCCACCTGGGCTCTTCCTGTACTTTTGGGGGCCTCTTAGGGGTTTCCTAGGGCTTCGGGGGGGTGCGCGGAGGACTTTTGGGGCCCTCTAAGGTTCGTTCGCGCGCTTGCGGGGCACGATGGGTTTGGCTCCTTGGGCGCCGCCTCGAGGGCCTCTTGGAGCTTCCTAGGGCCGTCCTGGGGGTCTCCGAAGCTGTCGTGGGTCGCCCGAACCATATTGGGGTTATCTTGGGCCGGTTTGGTGGCACCTTGGGTGAATTTGGAGGGTTTTTGCTTCCTCTCGGGTTGCTTTAAAACCATCGTGGTCATGTTGGGGGCCATCTTGGGATCGGCTTGGGGCCTTCCTGGGGGTTTCCTGGGCCGTCGCGCGGCCAGGGGGCCCTATAGGCGCTCTCGGGGCCATTTTGGGGTGCTCCTGAGCCGTATTGGTCCGATGGGACGCGGGACAGAAAGACAAACGCGGGAAATGCACGATTCCTGTTCGGACCGTGCAGGAGGTCCCGTGGAGGCCCCCCGGGTCGACTTGGAGGCCTCGTGGGGACCTCTCGGGCCGTCTCGGGCCATCGTGGACCGTCCTGGAGGCAGCTTCGGCCGTCTTGATATTGGCGCCGTCGTGGGTTTCCGTGAGGCCATGGTGGCCGTCCGTCTCGGAGGGCGCCTTCGGGCTGTCTGGAGCGGGCAACCCGATGGCCTGGGAAGGTTACGGGTCCGTTTGGGGCGCTGGCGTGTGGCGCCAATCTCCCAATGGGAACTTCTGTAACAACAAACCAACACTACTTCGAATTCGGCGCGCCGCGCGCCCCTGTGGTAAGCCGCAGCGGGCGGCGGCTTTAGCGGCCTTCGGCCCCTCCCGCCGCCCCGCCTTGGTTGTTGGTCAGGGGCCTCCTGGGTGCTGGTTGGGTATTCTTGGGAGGCCAGTCGCAAGCCTCTTGGAGGCGGTCCTGGGGTGTTTTTTGGGCCTTTCGCGGGCCTCTTGGTTCTTTTGTTGGGTGCCCGGTTTGCGCCTTTGGGGGGCCTTCTGTGGTTTCCGTGGGTTATTGTGGGCCTGGTGGCGGTCTCGGAGGCCATCTCGGGGCGGAGGGCTCGAAAATGTTTGTTTGCGTTCTCTTTCGGTGTCCTCTCTTGGGCCCCCCTCGGGCCGTCGACGGGGCCTCTTGGGCAGTTTCGGAACCCTTTCGGGCCGTCTTGGAACCGCCCTGGGGCCTCTCGGGCCATCTTGGGGAGATCTTAGGGGCCCTCGGGGCCGCCGTCTTGGAACCTCGAAAAAAGGCCAATTGGAATCCCATGATTTGGGTTTCTCGGGGCCTTTTGGAAGTGTTCCTGAGGCCATCTCGGGGTGTGTTGGGACGTCTGGAGGCCGTGTTGGGTGTCGTGGAGCGTTTTTTCAGCGATTCGGGACCTTCTTGGAGCGTGTTGGGGGCTTGATGGGGTTCTGTTGGCCCGTCTGGGGGCCCTTCTGTTTCCAACAAGGTGACGCGAGAACACGCGGGGACACGCGGCAGGCCCCGAGAGATCTATGAATTTAGGGTCTGGGCCTTTCAGTATTCATTCATTCAGACTAGACAGCGGAGAATCCGAGGGTCCGGAGGACACGCGAATTCGTGTCTCGCGGCACGATGGCGGATGCATCAACTGCTTTGTGGGTGTATGCAAGTCTAATTCGCGCCGCTTACCCACGTCAGTGTGGACGTTCAAAAATCAGTAATACATGTATTGTTTTCGAAACACATGCGTTGATAAACAAATACGGTGCCTATGCGACCACCTTTCAGGTGAGAAGGTGCAATGCCGTGAACATATGTCATATGTCTACGTTTGATATCACCATATATTTGCAGGTCAATATATCAGTCTCAGTATCAACTCGTCGCATTCTCCATCTCGCACTGAGCCCCTTGATCTGTTTACCTTTGGGTGTTGGGGGTTTTCTCGTCGCATTCTCCATCTCGCACTGAGCCCCTTGATCTGTTTACCGATCTCGTTGTCGATGGGCTTCGCTATCCATCGATCCCCTCATCCGTTTACGTATCGATCTCACGGGACAGCCATCCAAACAACCATCGGGTCATTTATCGGGTCATTTATCGGAACACCGTCGGGACACCATGTGGACACCATTTGGACACCATCGGGACACCGTCGGGGCACCATCGGGACACCATTTTGGCATCGTCGCGACACCGTCGGGTCACCATCCGGGCACCATCGGGACACCATCGACACACCAGCGGGGCACCATCGGGACACCATCGGGACATCATGTGGACACCATGGGGACACCATGTGGACACCATCGGGACACCATCAGGGCACCATGTGGACACCATCTGGACACCATGGGGACACCATGTGGACACCATCCAGAAACCACGGGGACACCATCGGGATACCATCGGGGCACCAACGAGATACCATCGGGACACCATCCTGACACCATCGGCGGAACATCACCGGGACACCACGTCGGGACACAATGTGGACACCGTGGAGACACCACCGGGACACCACCGGGACACCATTGTGCCGTCGAAGGGCAACCTGAGGGCACATAATTATTTGGCTCATTGTCACCTTAACCGCGGAGGGTTCGTTCCGCTTGCCCGCCCACGCAGATTCGCCCACCAGCACGCACGTCACGAACACGAAACTGGAACCCATTTCCTGGTGGGGGGTCTCCGTTTCACCTCGATCTCACCACCCAATTTCCGATAATTATAGAAATCAGTTCCAATGCAAATTCTAAGATTGAAAGGGTCCGTGCTAATTGGACGGATCTGGGCTGAGGTCCGCCAGGCGGCTCAGATCCGCCCAAATAGCTAAGAACATGTTGGTTTGTTGTTTGAACCGGCCATCTTGATAATAACTCAGTCTTTAGAGTCCTAAGTCCAGACAAGGGTTTCGTCAACCAGTGAGGTGTTGCTGTTTCCTTTCTTATTCCCCATATCCTAAGGATTGGGGTTCTTGTTATTACTCTGACGCCTCCCACTCCTCCTCCTCCTCCTTCTTCCTCCCGCTCGCGCCTCCCTCCTCCCAATGATAATCACCAGATAAGACAAGACAAGATAAGATACTACA